CCAGAGTATGGCTGAGGTTGGTTGAGGTTGGTCTGTAGGATAATCCTGGGAAGAGCAAGGCGAGGGATCATAAAACTGGTAACGGGCGACGAGCAAGGTACAAACTAGAAACAGGACTGTAACTGTAGCAGAGTGTAACTATAGTGGCAGAGTTGCCCAAGTTGAGTAATCTTCCGGCGAGGTGAAGTGATCTCCAGCTCCTTATAAAAGCTGGCAGGCGATGGGGAAAAGCACAGCAGCTGGCCGCTCTCCGGAGCCGCCCACCTGCAACAACTTGAGGCTGATTATCAGAATGTGCAGACTCACCCCAGATCCTGACAATCTCAAGGCACTTTTTACAAAGTAAACATTCCAATACAGTTCACTTCATTCAGGGAAATACCAGGAAGTAATGCAATTAGAGAGTGGTGGTAGAGGAAAGTAGAGTGTGGAAAGTAGTCAGTATGTCCTCCAGCAGTCTAAGCCTATAGCAGCATAACTACAGAGATAGCTCAGGATAAGCTAGCCTTTTAGATTAAGCAAATAGAGTTGGGGTGTAAAGGGACAAAACTCATAGCTGAAGCTCTTTGGGGACATTTTGAAGGGTTGAGACCTGGAAAACCGTGGTCCAAGGTCATAAAGGTTTGAGCTGATGAGTAAAGCATATGTCACTAAGCAGATTGCAAACCAAAACAAACCTGAAAAGATAAAAACACTTATTTTTAGTCAGCTCATGACCCAACTCATCTTCCTCAGAGAGGAATCTTAGTTTTTAAAACCCTCCCTTCAGACTCTGGCTGCAGGTCTCGTTTTCCCATCTTCTAGCTCAACAGCTGATCTGTCTGCTGGACGTTCATCCTTCCCATCCTCCTTTATACATAAAATCCACTAAACTACAGAGAAGTTACAATCTGTCACAGATCGCTGCCATATCGAAACTTTTACCATAATTTCTTTCTCACTGCTCTGCAGCTCTACGCTCCGATTATAGATTGCAACCGGCTGTCATAGTGCGGAGCTTCCCCTGTCCCCCTGCAGCAAACCGCTACTGAGCCATCCTCGCAGAGCTGGTCAGACTGGACAACCACAGTTTTGCAAATCACCCTCACATTCACCGTTTGTTTACACGATTATACTGCCTACGAGGAATTTGGCTAAGACGGCCAGAAATCGTACAGTTTGATCCGTACTTAAGACACTCTACCTTCCTCAACGCTGCTGTCAGTTTGTTCGTCTTTTTTTTTGTCTACTTCACAGTTAAATAAACTCTTTGCAAAAGGTTGAGGTTAGCTAATGTCTTTAAATTTGTCAGTGGATCGGAAGCCCAAACTGAATGTTTTCCACTAAGACGTTCAGGCTGTTGCTAAAGCTGGTTTTAAAATTACTGATTTGCATTTCCACATTTAAACAGCCAAACAAAACCACCCGACTGTCACAGGAAATGTTTGATTCATCATCTGTTGCTTTTGGAATTCTGTAGATCACTGAGCGTAGATAGTTTATTTACATAGATCATTCTATCTGCCTTATTTTTTCCTGAGATACCAGATTATAAAATATTCTAAGCGTGGAATGTGTGTCTGAAATGAAGTAAAAATAACTCAGTTGTTAAACAAAGCATTTTACATTTCTATTTGGATGCTACTGTCCCAAAGCTTGTCTTTAGCCTCTTTTAGGAATCAACACCGCTAATTTGCCGCAACGCTGAGCCAGCATCAGAGAGCCTTAGGTTGTTTAGAAGTAGTCAGACCGTGGCAGTAATGTGGCACAATCATATCCTTTTTACTAGAGATCCCGTGATGGTGGTATAAAGGGGGGCTATGGGGGCGGTCTCTGCTCTGCTGCAGACTTCCGTTTCTTGAACCTAACTTGCTTTTTACTGCAATCAAAGCCGCGCTCATTAAGTTTTTTACATGTCGCTCCTAAAGGTGTCTGTCCTCCACAGTCCCCGTGCAGCCTCTCGTGATCGCTCCAGTTTTTCTCTCAGCTGACTCTGTTAACAAAAACTAAACATACTTTCATACATTTACTTTTATTCAATATAGTTAGCGAGCTGGAGCTCAGACATAACTCATCACGTGATCATGATGCCACTTTCTGTTGTGCCAAGGTGTAATATGCATTCAAAAGTCTGACGTTGCAGTAAAATTACTACCAACTACTACCGCAAAAGCTGTGGCTTCAGTTTTATGCTGATTTGCTGTCATGGTGTGTCTTCTAAAAAGGATTTGAGAAACCATTTTTGAATTATTATCATTTGAAAATGAACAGTAACTATGATTTTAACATGCAGGCAGAACATGAAAATACTCTCCTACACCTATCTCCTGCATTAACATTGATAGAAAATAGAAAACTTTCCCCCATCTTGACTCATGATGGGGAAGGCTGTTGTTGATTCAGCCTCCAGGAAACAGCAGAGAACGTAGAAGAAGCTACCTGTTAGCATTAGCAACTCCACCACATGGCAGAAGTTCATCCAGGTTTGTGTTATTTGTGGAGGTAAAACATCAACATTGCAAAGCAAACTGAGTCAGTGGTTGAGTTGCCTTGCAGTTGTCCAGTCTGAGGCAAGATGTCCAAATATCAGGAAATAAGACTAAATTCTGCACTCTGAAGCTACTTTCTCCTCCAGCTTATTATGTCCTCAAACAGGCGCACCAGAGCCTTTTGCTCCGGAGTATGACTTATAAGATATGCATTCCTGAGACCTAGAGACCAATGCAAACATATTAAAATAGGAGTAAACTTGACCTTTAACCTAAAGTTGATTGGCTGAGCAAACAATTGCTGTCAACATAGCTCCATTTTTCCTGCTGTTGTTGGTGGTTGTGGTTTTATTTTTGTTGTTTTTTGCCAAACCTTTGTCAGTAGAAACCAATGCCATCTCCAGTTTGGCACTAAAACTTGTTTGATGGAAAAACCTGACACGTTCCTTCACAGAAGATACTTTTTTTAAGGCAGTGCTCTCTTAAAGCTGGAATAATAGCAAATAAATAAATAAAATAATAATTGATTAATAATTATTTGTATTTATTTTTCTGTCATAACAATACATATAAAACACATGAAAAGGAAAATAATTATCTAATAAAGATCATAATAATAATTATCAAAAGTACAAATTCCTCTTGTAAATTAAACATTTTCTTTAGATATAATTTATGAATGAAAAGGTATAGGCTGAAGTTAAACTTATTTAAGCCTACCCGTTAATTCATTACAAAATCCATGAAATCATTACAAAAAATCAACAGTGTCATAAATATCAAAAGTAAATAAACATGTAAACAATACAGTTATTACATACATCATCCTAATTTCAACAAAATCAATCAAGAGGTATAAAGATGAATAAAACAAAATCAAATGAAATCAATCAAGAGGCATAAACGTGTGGCAAAACTAATTTATGTGTACTTGATAATTATGTAAGGTGCTATTTTTAAAACTCTTTTTGAATATTTTCAACAAGCATGCATTTTTTAATCTTTCCTCAAGGCTATTCCATAAACTCACTCCTCTTACTGAGATACATCTTTTTTTTATTGGTTCCAGTATTCCTTTTTCTTTTATCCCAGTTCCTCTTAGACTATATCCTCCTTCCCTTTGTTCAAACATCCTTTGGAGACAAGGTGGAAGATGAGCCTGATATGCCTGATATACTACAGCCAGTGTATGCAGGTCAATAATATCATAAAATTTTAGAATTTTTAAATGGATAAAGATAGGGTTTGTTGGTGCATAATAGTTAGCATGGGAAATTATTCGAACTACCTGTTTTTGAAGTAAATATATAGGATAAATATTTGCTCTGTAATTATTTCCCCATGTTTCAACACCATAGCTCAGATATGGTAAAATAAATGAATTATTGAGTATCTGAAGGGATTTAATATTTAAGACAAATCTCATTCTACTCATAAGTCCTATATTTTTTGATATTTTTAACTTTATATCATCTATGAGGCTTCCAACTCAGTTTTATAATAATTCCTCAAAATGTGTGTGTACTTGTTCAATTTCAATACCATTTATTTTTTATAATAATTTCATTATTAATTTTCCTGTTTCCAAATATAATGTACTTTGTTTTGGTCACATTCATAGAAAGTTTATTCCTGATGAATAAAGGAACACAATAATGAGTTTGAAGCACTGTCTTGGCTTCTAAACTCTCCAGGCATCCATCTAGTTTTGCATGTGCAGAATGCAGTTTGATCCATACAGATGTTTATGTTACTAAACTCATCAGAAAAACTTTAGAGAGCTTGTGCTTGGTCAGAACTGTTGAGGTAAAACTGGAAAAAGAAAGCAGTGGTCTCAATGTTTGGCCAGAAGTGTGAATCTTTGTTTTTCTTTGAAAAGCTTGGGAAAAAAATTCCATTGAGTTTGATTTTGTTGTAATTAAAACATGAATGATTTAAGATACCCAACATAAAGCAATGGTGAATATGATAATAAAAAGTAAGTTGGTGTGATTATTTCCCTGTAAAAGATTGTTTTGGACTGCTGAAATAATCCAAAGCACATAAAACTAAAGGAATAACCAATTATTGTCTCACATGCCAACAGCCTCCGTGAACAAACACACAGTTTCAGTGTAAAACTTGCAACTGGGAACGATGCGAGTGCCCAGGATGATAATGTATACTGGTTTCTGCATCCCAGACTTATGAATATTTTGTTACAGTGTGCAATCAAAACCTTTACATTAATCATTCATGGTCCTTGTGGCCCATTATTTCTGCTATTAAATTATTAATGCTCTGCTCTGACTTTCACATAATCAAGTACTTATTGTTGGCTGTTTTTCATTGCTGCTGCAGTTGAAGACAGGACCATTAAATGAGTCATTCAATTAAGATATATTCAAAAAGCCTTATTTGATTAGATCCTAATTAGTCTCCTATTTTTAGGCGTTTTGTCATGTAAATAAACTATTTAAACATTTGCTTAATAATCTGATTTTCTCCATTTTTCTTTCTTCTTTTCCCCAAACTATTCATCCATCCATCCAGAGTTTTTCTTGGAGCTGCTGGACAACTCTGAAAAGTCTCTCAACAGTATGTTCACAAAGACGTATGGGAAGCTATACATGCAGAACTCTGAGATGTTTCAGGACCTATTCACTGAACTGAAGCGCTACTACACAGGGGGCAACGTAAACCTGGAGGAGATGTTGAATGACTTCTGGTTAAGGCTGCTGGAGCGAATGTTCCAGTTACTCAATTCCCAGTACCACTTCACAGATGACTACCTGGAGTGTATCACCAAATACGCAGATCAGCTAAAGCCTTTTGGAGACGTGCCCAGGAAGCTAAAGGCTCAGGTTACCAGGGCATTCATTGCTGCACGTACATTTGTCCAAGGGCTAATGGTGGGCCGGGAGGTTGCCAACAGGGTCGCTAAGGTGAGCATCATTTTCTTTTCACTGAGACACTCTGAGATTTTCCTTGCTGTTCAATTTCTTCAGCAGCATCATTTTCCCTTTAAGGCCAGAAATCTTTGCTGGTTATATCATGTTTTATAACGTCTGTTCTCACTTACAAGCAGCCTAATTTGGGTGGTTGATCAGGACCTTGGCATTGCATTTCATGTTTGGGAAATGTAAAATTATATTTCAGCAGGAAAGGTGCAAATGATTCATTGAAATAGAAGTACTTCAAAATCTCAGTACGACTTCTGTTTAAGGTAATTTGCAGGTGTTTTTGTTGATGTCCATTGTTTTGTATTTGCAAAAGGTAGAAGTTTGCTAATACACTGCCTGGCCAAAAATAGTTGCCAACAAAAAAAATTAAGTTGCACGCTCTAACATTTTGTTGGACCACCTTTAGCTTTGATTACAACACATATTCACAGTGGTGTTGTTTCGACAAGCTTCTGCAACGTCACAAGATTTATTTCCATCCAGTATTGCACTAATGTGTCACCAAGATCTTGTATTGATGATTGTGGAGTCTGAGCACTGCACAAAGACTTCTCCAGCACATCCCAAAGATTCTCAATGGGGTTCAGGTCTGGACTCTGTGGTGGCCAATCCATGTGTGAAAATGGTGTCTCATGCTCCCCGAATCACTCTTTCACTATTTGAGCCTGATGAATTCTGGCATTGTCATACTGGAATATGCTCGTGCCATCAGGGAAGATGGAATAACCTGGTCATCCAGTATATTCAGGTAGTCAGCTGACCTCATTCTTGGAGCACATCCTGTTGCTGAACCTAGACCTGACCAACTGCAGCAAGCCCAGATCATAACACTGCCACCACAGGCTTGCACAGTGGGCACTAGGCATGATGGGTGCATCACTTCATCTGCCTCTCTTCTTATCTGATGCACCGTCACTCTGGAACAGGGTCCATCTCTACCCATCAGACCAGTTTTTAATAATAAGTTGGACAGTTCTTAACCCAGTTTTAGTCATTTCTGCAATCTCCTTAGATGTTTTCTTTGCTCGATGCATGCCATTGATTTCACCTTTCTCTAACAGACTAACATCTTTTCCACGACCACCAGATGCATCTTTCCACATGTTTTTTTAAGAAATGAGAAGCAACACATTACACCAGTTGGAGTTAAATAGCTTGTTGCCAGCTGAAAGATAATCGCCCATGCACTAATTATCCAATAGGAAGCGCCTACCTTTTGGCTTAGTTAAATCTGGTTGGTGACTTGTGTTTGGGCCAGGCAGTGTAAGTACAAATCTGTCAGTGGAACCCAAAACTCAGCTAAGTATGTAAATGCAATAAATAACACGTAAAATGAAAAGATCATAAAACTAACATTTATGCTGATCGATCCTTTCTGTGCATGTTTACATAAAGAAGCCAATCAACCAGTACAAATTTTACCTGATGTTTTGACAGACACACACACACACTTTGTTACATTTTGCAATGCTATCTATAGTATTTCTACAAATTAGACAGCTTCTTATTAAAAGATTAAATTGAAAGCCTGGCACTGTCTGTATTTATAAGCTCCGCATAGTCAGGTGGGAGCTGGACATTTGAAATTTCATTCATTTAAATGGAAATTTAAACCCAATTTGTTCTACATTACAGATAAATCAACCAGAGAGAGTAAAGCTTTAGAAAAGAGACGGGATATTAAAGTATAACCCCACACATTATGCCATTGAGTCTCTTCTGCTCTAGCAGTTTAATTGTTTAACAATATGCACATGAAAAAAATATATCTTTTCACTGCTGTTGATTTTATGATAATGATTGCTGAATTAAAGAAAGCAGAGTTTATTAGATACTGCAAAAAAAAATTAAAAAATAGAAAAGAACAAAACACTCAAGAACACAGCTGTGTTTTGGACGTCTGGTTTATAATTTCATGTTAAACACATAAAGTTATGCAACAGATTTTCATGAAAGTTTAAACTGAAGCATTATGTAACCACAGCTGTTTGCAGCCCGTGGGAACAAACTGCTGTTGTGTTCGGCTGCATAAAGAAAGACCTGCCAGACGTGATGATTTAGTTTTAAATAAAGTTTGCACAGACTAGCTTCATTAGAAAACCAACACATTTATGCATGTGGATAAAAAGTGAGAATTTGGAACCTTTTTTCTTTGACTAAATACTAGTGATGTAAGAAAAATACTTTGTATTGGCCATTCTGCTCCTCAATTATTACAACCATGTGTTTTACAACTTCTATCATATAATTTCACTTTGGCAGGGACAAATTGTAGTTTGGCAGATATGTCTTCTTTCATAAATCATCATATATCACACAAACACTACAATTTCTTTTATTCCCCACAATTCCCAATATTACGTTTTCATAGTGTGTTCAGATTTGAGCCATAATAGGATTGAGCGGTGGCTCGTTCTTAGCTCAAAGCTCCGCTCATTTGAATTGAACTGAAATGGAAAAGAGTGAGAAGGTGAAAACACTAAATGTGATATAAGTAATATGATAAAGAATTTCAGTCAGTTTTATGCTGGAGGCTGAACTTCTTCCAGCTAAAGATAATCTAGAAGAGACTGTGTTATGAACAGAGTTGAATATTTAACAGTTTAGTTAAAGGTGTGCAACACTACAAACCCATTTTTTATTGTTATTTCTGATTTATATATTTATAAAGGGTGGGATTGCAGATAAATGCTGTCAAGGTCTGCGTCTGCCCCTTCCTTCATGTGCCTCCTGGTGTTTCTCCATCCTCTCTAGATTCCCTTCTGTGTCCTAGCGCCCTCATGTGTCATGTCTGCGTCTTCCTCATGTGTCTTCTGGTTTTCCCCATTTGCCCCTAGATCTCCAGCCCTCTAGGTTTCTCAAGTCATTTCCTTTAGTTACAGCCTTTCATGATTTAGTATGATTTTCCCATCAGTGTTTATTTTTCTCCCCTCCCTTTGAACTGTAGTTATGTTTCCTCCTCTTTTGTATTAGGTTTTATTCTTAGGTCAAGTTAGCCTAGTGAACTAGACCAAATTCTTGCTTTGCAAAGAATGGTCTAGGCATGCTCCATTGGAACCTCCACAGCTCCTACCAGGACTCTGGCTAGCCAATCACAGCTCTCTAGAGGGGTTTCAAACACATAAAGAGTTGTGATTGGTCCATAATGGTGGGCCAATCATGGTGCTCTATCTGCTAAGTGAACAAATCACAGAGCTTTATCCGCTTTATGGGCCAATCGGGGCACTCTATATGCCTGGTGGGTGGGATGATGCAACAGAGTGAAACAAGAGGATGTCACATTCATTGTCCAGTGGAATGTGGAGATCATTTGAAAGACAACGGTAGAACCCGCCCCACAACCGAGAGCCGTCATTGGAGCGTTGCCAGACTAAATAATACATTTATTTAGTCTGGCTTGCCAGGCTAAGGTCAAGTTAGTTTCTCCCCTGATCAGTCATTGCCTTCACCTGGTCCTCCTCCCACACCCCACACACCTGCAGCTCATCTCCCTCTCATCCTCCCTGTGTATTTAAGCCCTGTCTTGTCTCAGTGTCTTGTCGGTCCATTGTAGGGCTGCAGCTATCGAATATTTTTGTAATCGAGTACTCTATCGAATCTTTTTTTCGATTAATCGAGTACTCTAATAAATTACCCTTTTGTGTTTGTAAACCATTATATCAAATAGCATGTTATAATTATGAAAGACCTCTTAAAATGAGCAAGCAATTGCTAGTTATTCTTCAAGTTTTATTCAAAATTAGTTTTCAAAACTTCAGCACTTCAACTTTAATTCACAGGAAACAAATGCCTGTGCAAAAAATAAGTATACAACCTGAGCCGATTTTCCCCTCGTGCGAGAATCTGCTAGCCTGCAAGCCAGACAAAAACTAGGAGGATAACTGTTGAAGTAGCGCTGCGAGCGGCTGCGGCCCAAACAGAACCACAACCGCTCACGGCGCATGCGCAAACAGCTCGCCGGCTGTTTCCCTATTAACACACGTCCGTTTTAATTTCTACACTTTTTTCTCACACAATAACAAGGATTGTCGAAAGCATGTTTGCCGTGGTTTTGTCAAATTATACTGATCACAAAACATTTATTTACTTTCTTTCGTTTTCCTCTGCCACTCATAAATACCCGTGTCCTCCTGCAGAAACCCCGAGGGACAACGGACATCAATAACACAATAAAAAGTCCGACATATTGTGTAAAACTGCTATTTTTTAGCACATTTTAAGTTCGACGTGTTGCTACTAGATGTATGGTGTGAGCTAAAACTGAGTGCTACAAACGAAAAAGTCGCACAGTGTCTGCAGAATATATAGAAATACAGGCTAAAAAGCATTATCTTGTAGAGGCTCTGAGTCCGCTTGCAGAAATGACATTTACAGGTGCTGCAGCATGGAGGATGTGGTGTTGTGGTAGGCTAAATCCATTTTACAGCATTTACACTGGACTACGTTTTCCGCCTTACGACGTGAAAAATTGTCCCACACCTTTGACATTTTGTGACTTTTTAGAACTCCACCGGGGTCCACGTTGTCCGCCATGGCTTAAGAGAAAGTTAACTTACATTCGCTACTCGCGTGTGCATTCAGCCCAGTGGGCATGTGCGTTACTTATTTCGGTCCGGGTGAAACATGGCCCCGGGCGATTGCAAAGCCATGAATTAATTAAATATGAATTAAACGAATCCACGAGGCAGAGAATTTGACTCGAGGATTTTTTGTACTCAAATTATTCGAGGTACTCGAGGAATCGTTTCAGCCTTAGTCCATTGTTTGTATTCTGTCAGCGTTTGTTCGTGCTCTTGGTGAGCTTTGTTTCTCCTGCTTTGGAGTTTTGGACTTTAGGCTCGCTGCCTTTGTATTTATTTTTGTTCATCCTCAAATAAAAGGATTTTTTCTTTATATCTACTCCTGCCTCGTGCCCTCCTGGGTATCTGCATATTTGGGTCCTAAACATCCTCGAAATGTGACAAATGCGGCCAAAGTGAGTT